ATTCATTTATTAGCGTGTCAAAATCAAGAAATGAGTGATGTCAATTTGTATAAACGATTTAAAAATGCGTTTGTCACTTACCATTCTACTATTTATGATGAACCGTTTAGTTGCGTCAGTTATATTGTCTCATTTACAGCTGAAAGTGGTGATACGCAATATGGAAATATAGTTTTATTTTATAAACATCATAATGATTATTTTGCCCTTCAACAAAAATATGAGAAATATAAGAAACAACTATCCGATTTTGTTAATATTCCGTCGGAAATACATCAGAAATTAAATGAATTATATCCTTTGTTGACATTAACAACAGCTTTGACAGTTATTGCTGTCGAGCGTTTCCGCCATAAATGTATTTACGTACCATTTCAAGACACATTATATTTATCTGAGATTAGAGTGGATTTTGAGCATGATTAAAGTTTTCTGTTACTGACATTTTCAGTTTAAAATGTAACATGTTGTGAGATATTAGTAAAATTATACGAGATATTTTTCCGTAGCTGAAAACTATCTAAAAAAGCGGTAATAAAGAAAGTTATGTACTTTATTCTAGATGTATGAAGCAGATTCACTGGAAACGAATTCATATGCAAAATATTATACAACAAGTCGTCGTACTGTTACCAAAAGCGAGAATTACAAATTGGTGATATTCACCTGTAATAACACGTATTCAATTGTTAGTGATAAATAGTGTTTACCATCAGAACATCCCGGCTTCGTTATTGTTAAAGGTGGTAATAAAAAATATACAGCTATGATTTTTAAAGAAGGTACGATCTCTTAAGAAACTGTTACTTTGATTGCTTTTGTAGAGGTGATACTGTACACGTTTGTTTCTTCAGGAAAAATGGCCGAATTAAGTTTAGCAGCCAAATTATTACAAAAAAAATGAATAATGATGTTGAAAGTGACTATGATCCTCATCAAGAAGAAAACTCAGCAGCAACATCAACTATCAACGAACAACAATCAAGTAACTGGTGTTTCTAACTTCTTTTACAAGGAAAACAGCACATTCAGTCTGTTATTTGCTTTTAGAAGCACCTAAAATAACATGTTTGGATAGTATCCCATTCGAAAGTTTGGAAAATATTACACAGAAGCAATTATTTACAAGCACAAATAATGAAAGTGTTCGATTAACATCAGGTTAGTACTATATTTATTCTAACATATCCTTCGACTTACCTTTTGTTATTTTGCGTGCAGAATCAACAAATAAAGCTACAACTGACAGTTCAAGATCAAAACTTTCACGTGGATCAGGTAGAAGAGAGAAAAACAGTTTTACTACGGTTCCTTCAGCATGGTCTTTTCCTAGGTTGGGTTACACAGAAAAGTATACTACCAAGCAATGCTACAACTAATAAACAACAAGGTAAAACAGAAGATATTAACAAAAAAATACATTTAAATAACTTTATTTATTATGCGAATCCGTTTTTATTTTGTAGAATGTTTAAACATCAAACGTGAAACATCGACAATATTTACGACAAGCACCCCTTTGAGAAGTTACACAAACTTCTCAGTTAGACAAAGTTTACGTAATTCATTATGTCTGTTTCTTTTTAGGTGCTGTTGAGAATATGGCTGCCATAAACCAAATGGTTTATAATTTCAATGATGAACAATTACGATCACCACCACAATTACAACAACAAAATGATAAAAAACGAGAATCAGCAGCGATAAATCCTGCTCAACAAAAACGTCCACACCAAACAACAAAAAAATTAACATCAAGATGCCTTTTACAATTAATAATAACGGACGATGACGACAGTGATGCAGATCATCCTCCCACAAGAAAAACAAATAACAACTTCACAGCTGCTAGTATACTGGGAACACCATCTTCAATAACAATTCTCAAAACACCAAAATTAACTGGAACAAAACTCCTTCGTACAAATACCACTATTAAAAACAATGATGACGATACTGATGTGGAACAGGTAACGATCCACCCCCTGTTTTGTTTGCTTGACGCTTCAAATCCGCTGCATTTTTTTAACATCAGAACTGTAAAAAGCACAAAGGCAAAGCCAGTTAGAAATAAGGTGTGGGGTAGTAGGAGACTGCTCACCTGTAATTTTCCCATTTTTTTTAAATTTCCTCGGGCGTCCGTTCGCAACCTCCCACTGCCGAAATTGCTTCAGCAACTTTTGCCCATGCATGTTGTTTACGGGCGTGACTGCCGGCAGACCCAGTAAATCTGCCCAGCAAAATCCGGGCGTTATCAGATACGTTTTCGACTAATACGCGAAGCTCCTCATCAGTGAAGGTTTTGGATCGTTTCGTGTCGTTTTTTTTTTCTTTTATTTCAATAGGCATCTAAAGAGCGAAAGAATTTCGAAGAATGCCTAGTTCTATTGTTTTTTCCTGGCAAAATTAGTCTAAGAAAACTTTATTTGAAATAGGTCGACTCTTTCACATAACCAACAAACTGTACCGAGAATAAAAATGAGAGAAATCTATGATTTCTTTTTTTTGGAAAACCATGACATTCAATCAATGAATCTTCGTCATCCATTGACTCATCTTCTTTGACTTAATCGCTCAAATCTTGTTCAACATAATCTATATCACCATCATAATTAATTGAAGATACTTGTGAATATTTTTCATTTTTTTCCCTTGATGGTGCAACACAATCATCTAATGTTTTTTATATAATAATAAGTTCTTCATGCCAAGGGAGAGTATGACAAGGAAAGGATTGAAAAGCGATGCTGCCGATGCTAAGTTTGCCTGAGTAAAACTCCAATTTTAGTTTTCACTGATCAAAACTTGAATCCAAAATTATAATTTGAGCTCTGCCTGTATCCCGTTCATCAGGACGGTGTAGGTACGATATGATGTATCTTAGAACTGTCGTATGTTGTAATTTCATAAATATATAACGTGCAGAGTCATGTTTTCAGTCAGATCACTCGTTCTTTTCTAATTATTTGATATTCAACTCTCAGCTCTTGGACAATATCGAAGTAAGAAAAGTTCGACAATTAATATCATCCGATTACTATAACTCGAAAAGTTATTCTGTAGCCGATGAAGTCATCTAAAAGCGATTTAAATTCGTTCAATGGAAGCGAAAAGTTTGTATTTTACCGACTGTAGGCTGTATGAATTTCAATTTCTTACTTCGATATAGTCCAGGAGATGAGAGTTGAATATCAAATAATTAGAAAAGAACGAGTGATCTGGCTGAAAACTTAGTTAGTAGCTCTCAGTGTGCTTGTGAGAAGGCTGAAACAGTACAGCATTTCTTCCTGAAAACCGCCAAAAGAAACCGCCGAAAAGAGGTGGTAGCGCTTCTTTCTATACGTTTTTATTTGGGCTTGATAATGCGCATTGACAATCGGGTTCCGAGCCAGAAACAGTTGCTGATAATGGGAAAGCAAGTTTTAGGTATCGACCAACAGTTTTCGAGGGAAAAGAAATAAAAGTGTCAGAATTCGAAATTTCACCAAAATCCGGCATGAGGAAACCCAAATTTTGTTTTTGAGTTAACTTCACAGAAAAGCATCGTGAAGGACTGCGTTTCCTAGCGCTTAGAACGCTGTGTCAGATAATATGCTTTTTCGAATTTTTCCTAAAGAAATGTGAATAACACTAAATTGCTCCAGCATTATTAATGATGCGGTAATTAACTTAATTAAGTGATTGAAATAGCGGTACTTTTTTCTAGAAGATGAATCTGCAGACATTTCTGCGCAAACAAAGCTAATTCAGAAGAGACCATCATTAACTTTTTGCTTGAGTGAAATGTTTTTAAAAATAATCCCTTAGCTGACGTCGTGATTATGGCACCAAATTAAATGATTAAGTACGCAGCCAAACCTAGACCAAATTTCAAAACAATTTCAGGATATATATATATATATACTGAAGTGTCTCTAGAAGATGGCGAACCGTGAGGATACATACTGTGAAGGTTTACTCCTCCTTAATAACTAGAGTAAAGGTTGAACTACCCACTTGAGAATTAGATATTCAAATGCCAAAACCAGAATGAACGAACGGTGTTCCAGCCTTGCGCATTGTTAATTCATTTATAAATTACTATTTTAGATCCGGACAGCGAAAGAGTAAATACAGTATTATCTTCTGTGTCAAAAGATGAAAATGCTTGTAGAATTTACACTCTAATTCTTAGATAGTTCACTTGGTTGCTGGTAGCGTAGTCAGTGGGAAGGAAGGTTAGAGTGAATTCAGCTAGTAAACTATTGCACCTCACCAAAATGTTTTGGGTTCCAGTTCTGATTTCCTTGGATCGAATATTTTCCTGATACATGTATTTTTTGGGTGAAGGAAATACTTTCACCTGAACAACGGAATTTCGCATTCGATGGAGGCGACACCTACCCATAGTTTATTTGTGCGATAAGACCATTCATATAGCTAATTAAGGTTTCTTTGTACTAGAGCACTACAAAAATAAGAGTAAAGATACTCCAGTCAAATATGCGAATATACGCTGTTCTTGTTACATATAGACATGTCATGCTTAGAATATTTACAAAGAAAGTTTTTCATCTAGCGATCGAAATAACTCCCTTGCATGGTTGTTTCAATCTGGAGACTACTCTTCAACAAGTTATCAGTGACGTTTTTTCCAAATGTACCTATCATTTCACCTTTCTCCGCCGTGGAACATGCTTGCCCCGGGTCCGGATCTTTTCCCTGGGGTTTGAGATAGTCGTGTTCGAAACGGATATCAGGAGTCTCCTTCAACGGATTCTGGGAGAACATGTTGATGAAAGCACGTTCTTCAATAACGCGCACATCATTTGATTCAATTAGTCGTGATAAATAATCAAAAAACGTATGTGTTAACAGAAAAAAGCCCAAACCCTCAATGCCGACATGATTTACAACACCAAATAGCTGATGCTTAGTGTCTGCAAGGTGATGTTTCAAATACATCAATGATTTTGAATGATCACGGGGCCTATTTGCCCACTCGACTAGTTCCTGTTGCCAATCGGGACAGAGTTCGTCAAAGTGGATGATTTGCAATTCATTTTTTTCGTCTTTCACATACGCTCCATCTTCAACTCGAAGGCGAAAGTAGGGGTGCTGTTGTCGAATTAACCGAAATGCCTGGCACACACGTTCTTTCGAAATTCGATCCCCTTCGAACTCGAAATAAAATGCTATATTAGTTTTCAAAGCTTCATTTGCATCTAATTGGCGTTGAATTAGCACTTTTTCAGCAATCCTGAAAAAACATGGTACATATATAAGATAAGAAGAAGGAATTTCAGACTGGTCAGAGACAAGATTCAAAGGTGTCCAGCATTCTGTGTATTAGGAATTCTTGACTTATTACTCAAAGTGACTTAGAGCAAATAGTTTGTTAGGCTAAAAATAAACTTCTCGAGAATCGCGAACAAATGAATACGAACATATTTAGAAACAAGATGCCGATCAATTATTTTCTTACTTTTTTCTACTCAGCGGAAGCATGATTTAGTATCTAGAGAACACCTGTGAAATAGTGTCTCATATCAGCTCGATCGAATGAAATATAACGAGAGGTCGGCATAGTGCGCAATTACGGCTTGTGATGTGGACATTGGAACTTTTGTGGGAATAAGCCCTTTTCCCTTAATCTTTATCGTTCTACAGCTGTAATAAAACCTTATGACAGAAAACAAAAGCTTTTGGAAAACGTTTTCATGAAATATCGCTCTAATTGAATCAAATGATGTGCGCGTTATTGAAGAACGTGCTTTCATCAACATGTTCTCCCAGAATCCGTTGAAGGAGACTCCTGATATCCGTTTCGAACACGACTA